AGTTCGAGCCTTTAAGAGGTAATTGAACATGCTACTTTTTAGGTGGTTATTCCGAAACTTTGCTAACCCATGGCTAAATAGAGGCTGTTTGAGGAGTTCGTCTGGAAGGTTATATGACTGACTGGGGAAATGGGCGCCAGAAAAGATGGTGTAGAGGTGAATTTTGGAAATGAAGAAAACAGCGTACCTTCGTCAATCGGGGAGTAGCTGCACTTCCAAGTTCCATCGCCGCAGTTCTGAGTTATGCAGGCCGTCCTTTGTTTGTGCGGATTCACGACAATCGCTTTCACTGCTCCTCGGCCCTGAGGGTCGACTGGACGGGCGTCTACAGTGAACTTGGCGAAGGACTCTTTGAAGACCTCTATTGGATGGTCAGATGGGGAGGGAGAATAACGGGTCTCAGTTACCAAATGTTACGACTAGACCTGATAGAAAAATAATGCATGCATTCCGTTAAAAAGTGCTATTAGCTCAGTCACTCTAGTTGGCATAAAGTAACTTGAGGACCGACAAGTGAAATGCAAGCATTACCGAGAGTCTTAAATATAGACATCATAATCCCATCTATAAGCAAAAGCGAAACTCGAGTTATCAATCAGAAGGAAAAGCTGCTCAGTGAATTGGCCTCCGTTTACCGTCCTGCGACTCAGATAAATACCTGCCTAGCTGCCGACTGTCAAATGACAGAAATCGTCGTAACACCAAATCATAGTTGATACTAAAACCGAGCCACTATGGTAAAGCAAGAGAAAATAGAGCTCAGCTGCAAGCCTAATCACCGCTAATGGCCAATGTTGGCGCAAGTTTAAACGCAAGATATGCGAGGCAATCCTATTTCGGATTTGGATGAGGCCAATTCACGAATTGTTGGACCCAATTTCATTTTTGTCTGTACGCCAACATTATTGTTGACGTTGGCTGCTTGGGCAATCTTGTTTGATTCAGCTGAAAGCGGAACTCGCCGGAGCAGGTATCATTGCTAGGGAGACATTCACTTCATATGAAAATGCACGATGAAAAATGCAAATGTCGACCTCACCAGAAAACGACGGCTGATTCGGGTTGTACTTCAGTCGTTTAGCCTTAATTCGGCGTTCAGGTTTACGTAGTCCACAACATCCTGTCTCGTTTCGGGCTAAAACGGGCTGAGCTTTCGCCCAGTCTCTAAAAATACTCATAACTAAAATAAAAAATGCATAGACATAGACAAATATATCATGATTTGGATAATTCCCTTTCATATTAGTCATGACACATTAACTTGAGCGTGTATACATGTGTAAAAGTACCATGGCCAATATGGAAGTGAATTATCAAAATCATTCTATATCTATTGAACTTACTTCCATTTCGAGTGAAATGGTATAGGAAAGAGATTCGCGGGAGATCCAACCATGAGAAGACTGAGATATCCTTCTGATCAGCTGTCGATTGGCTTTACTGGAGCATGCTTATTGATGCTGTTTCCGAGGCAATCTCCTTCGATTCTAGTGAAAACGTGCTAAGCTTTCGTCCGTTATATGGCGGACACCATCAGACCAGGGTATCATCCTTAACCATATTCCAGCTAACGAGTCAAGAAAACGCGCTGGCTCATCCTCAAATGCTGAATCTATTCTCTATATCTGAGTTCTTTGATGAGGTATAAAGTGATTTGGATAGTTTCGGTCATATCTCAACCTCGGAGCAAGTGAGTGTGTCCGTCTGTGCTAGTGTGCGTGTCTACATGTGTTCGAATATGTGCCAAACCAACATACACATACACGGACAGACACACCAAATTACTTTATACCTAAACAAAGAGTTCAGAAATAAAGTACGGATTCAGCACTTATGGATGTGCCGGTGAGATTTCCTGACTTGTTAGTTGCAATATGATTGCAAGGATGATACCCTGGTTTGATGGTGTCAGTCATATGACAGACGAATGGCTAGCGAGTTTTCACTGGAATCGGAAACAGCGTCAGTGAGAATTTTCCAGGAAATCCATTCGACAGTTGGTCAAAATGAACCCGCCG